AGGCGAGGGTGGAGAGAGGAGAGATGGTCGAGATGGGTCGACCAGAAAGTTGGGAGAAAGTTGGACGAGCGGAAGCGACGACGCTCAGTCGTTTAAAACTGTTCAAAAGTGGTATGACAATCGCGGCCAATGCTTATAAAAGTACGCTGGGGTTTTTTTTTTTTGTCTCACCACTATGCTCGGGTGGCACAATCGCCAAAAGTGGGCCCATTGTTTGACCACGACGGGCAAGCCTCTCCGCTGCTCATAATGCCATCGATATCCACCTCCGTTTGTTCATCTAAAGGCTCGTGATCAATCTAGATACCTATTATCCTCCCGAAACGTCTAACAGAGGGAAAAGCGGAAGGCCGGACAACGCGCCAAATCTCATTCACTCGCTCACTTGGGCAAAACACATTATGCAGAATAAGAAACGTCAATTGACAGAGGTATAGGAGAGACATGAGACTACAGCATATGCATACGGCAGCACAGGCGCATGAATCACAGATTGAAATGAGACAGAGATATTTACCAACAGAGAGACACATGAGACAGAACGGATGAGCATAGAGAGAAGAGAAACGGATTGAAGGAGACGTTTAATCGTCCTCCTCTCCCTTCTTCTTCTTAGCCATACGCTCCTTCTTGGCTTTACGAGCCTCATTGCTAGTCAGCTTCTTGTTCTTTGCCTTGTCAATCTTGTTGCCCATGGCATCATACTGATCATCTTCCTCCTTGGCACCTTGGTCAATTCTTGGGCCGGATCCTTGTCCTTCGACCCAGTTGTGTCCAGAGGCCTCGAGCTGACCATCCCTCATGGCCCAGACTTCAGAGCAAATCGACTCGGAAAAGTCGCGCGAGTGGGTAATGATGAGAACACCACCTTGGAACGTCTTGAGAGCTCCAATGAGCGCGGCGAGCGATTCACGATCGAGATAGTTGGTAGGTTCGTCGAGAGCGAGAACGTGTGGGCGGCGCCAGGTAGCAGCACCGAGCACAATCTTGACCTTTTGACCACCAGAGAGACCCCTCATGGTGTTGTGCGAGACAAACTCGGGGTCGAGACCAAAGTCGGCAAAGTGCTTTTCAATCTCACGGCGGACGAGGGGCCTCAACAAGCCGAGACGTTGAGCCTCGCGAATATCAATCTCCAAAACACGCTTCTCGAAACCGCGCTTGATGAGCTCGTCACGGGGGAGCCAAATGTTCTCGGTGGACGAGAGTCCCTTGAACGAGACCTCATACTCGTACGATTGCTTGAGCTTCTTGCGGTTGTTAATCTCTTCAATGGTGCGCTTCTGACCTTCAATGACGATCAAAGCACCCTCCTTCATCTTCTTAATCTCCTCGGGGGTCAACTCCTTTTGAACCTTCATCATCTCCTCAAGATCTTCTCCGGTTTGGTAGCGCCAGAGCATGTACTCGAGGGGAGTCTTGTCGAGATGTTGTTCAATGTGGTGGAAGGCGTGTTGGGCAACATAGCCAATGACCAAGTTGGGGTGCTTCCAGACTTCACCACCCTTGTTGGGCTCGAGGTCGCCAATGAGCAACTTGACGAGGGTACTCTTTCCGGAACCGTTGGGACCGAGAATGGCCACACGGGACGAGAGCGAGACTTGGAGGGTGATATCGTAGAGCTGTTGCTTGGCTTGGGTCGGGTACTGGAAGCCAACCTTGCGCATCTTGAGGAGCGCCTTCTCCTTGGTCTTGACACCATCGAGGAATGGTGGGTCGGGGAAGGTAAACTTGTAGTCCTCGGCGGCTTCGAGGGTGTAGTACGACTTGGCCTCTGGGACGGCCTTGACGAACGCCTCGAGGTTACCACGGTACCTCTTGATCTTGAAGCGGTTGAGGTGGAGGACATCGGTGATGGTGTTGTTGAGGAATCCAGAATCGTGCGAAACGATGACTAGAACAAATTAGATTAATTTCAATAGAAATATTTGAAACTTACTGGAAGTGCAGTGAGTGAGGCCAGTGAGATAGCTCTCCAACCAGGCAATGTTGACAACATCCAAGTGGTTAGTAGGCTCATCGAGCAAGAGAATGTCAGCCTTGAAGAGCATTGCACGGGCAAGTGCAAGCTTCATCTTCCAACCACCAGAGAGGGAGCCGATCGAGTTTCCTTGCCTCTCGTCATTGAAACCAACAGAGGCGAGGGTGTCAATGACTTCTTGCCTTTCAGCGAGAATGCGCTTGTCAGAGAGGATAAAGTCGAGGATGGTGGTCGACTCTTCGCTTCCGTCAATGTCGTGCTCGACGTAGAAAGTGCGGACTTGTTCGGGGGATGGGAAGCCCTCGACTTGGCCATTGGTGATGGCACGCATGAGCGTGGATTTACCGGAACCGTTACGGCCGCAGAGACCATAGCGGTGGCCACGCTTGAGACGGAGGATAATAGGTATCTAGATTGATCACGAGCCTTTAGATGAACAAACGGAGGTGGATATCGATGGCATTATGAGC